ACCAAAAATGTACCTATAACCTCTACTCTTTTTACTGTCAAGCGTTACTCTATGCTCTAAGTGACTTTAACCATGCGCAGGTGACTAGGGGAAGCCTGAGATTCCATTTTCTCGAGTTGGGAAGTGCAGATTGGGAGTGGGGTGCTGACTAATGCAGGTGACATATTGTTGTTCACATATCATTCTTTTTCCTTTTTTTTTCTACTGTTATAATGATCCTTTCTGTTTAATCATTGAATTAGGGCTTGTTTAGTTGCACTTCATTTTGCAAATTTTTTCAAGATTCCCCGTCACATCGAATCTTTAGACGCATGCATGAAACATTAAATATAAATAAAAAATAAAACTAATTATACAGTTTAGATGAAATCCACGAGACGAATCTTTTAAGCCTAATTAGACTATGATTAGACACTAATTACCAAATAACAACGAAAATGCTACAGTGCCATTTTGTCAAATTTTTCGTCATCTAAACTGGGCCTTAGTCTGCCTTTTGTACAAAAAGCTAGTTATTGATATCATCACCCTGCCTTTGTCTGATATGTATTTTTGCAAATAAACCCGGGGTTGGGGGTGGGGCTGTGGGTTGCAAATGAACACAGACACTATACTTGTTTTTTCAGAAATACAAAAATTGCCTAATTAAAAAGACATTGTTGCCTATTGAATGACACTTAAATTGTCTAGGAAAACCTTTTTTTATCTCCTTCCAGCAACAAATTTTTGACACATGTTATCTTTTTTTAACATGCAGAAATGCAGGCCATGTACAGAGAAGATGCGGACAAGATGTGCAAATGTGTGGGCTAGATGTATAGTGTTGTGCTTTTTGAAAAACAGCAGATGCAAATGTATTCTTTTCTGAGACGTGTTCTTTTTTCTGAAAACATTGTCTTTTTGTGAACGTATATATGTACCTAAAAGCATACGCCTGGGCCTTATTTGCCTTTTTTTGTGAACGTATAGATGTGCAAATGTGTGGTCGGTATCTGGTCTTGTCCGCATCCTGCCAAAAAAACAAACGCTAATTAGTATCCTTGCCAAAAAAGGAATAAAATAATTGTACTTTTACAAAAAAAAGGAAAGGAAAGGCCGTGCAATAATCTAAATTACGGTCGGCCGTAATTTAGCTGCTTCCTTTAAAAAAATCCGAACCCAATGCATAAAAAAGTTACTTGCCAATTAACTTTTAGAAATATTGACTTCAAAAAGGCTACCACTAGGGCATTTGGTTGTAATTATCATATTTATGACTCGGCATACACCCAAATAATTAGGATTCAATCAAATCATGGAAACTTTTTAATAAATTCTTTCAATAAATCCGCCTAGCATGGATAGCGCGCCCCCTCGGACCCTTCTGTTATTATCAGTCATTAAACTCGGTACCGTACTAATGGAATAAACCCACCGCTTTAGGTCAACAATAGATGCAAAAGGTTATGCAAATACACACACGGTGAGGTTCACGGCATGAATAGAACTTCAATCAACAAACAAGGCGTCTGTCTGTCTGACGACAAAATTCAACATGTCACCATCGGTCCAACATCAGCTGTCATGTTCTGTCCTGCTATGTGCGTAATCTGCGATGTCACGCGGGAGTGTTGGGCTGCTAGTAAAAACCAGCTTATATGCTATGATATGATATTTTTTTCTTAAAAAATCAGTCACACAAATCACTCCAAACGGCTTTACGATCAGCCAAACATGCTCCCTGAAACAGGTCGACGCAGCCGGAGCTTCAGGCGGCGAAACTGACGGAACCCCCGCTCGATTGCTCCATTTTTCTTTTCCTTTTTTGCAAGCAAGCACCAGAATAATACAAATCGACACCTGGGCCCGTAATGGGGAGTGTGGAGCGTGCAAATCATTTTGTGATCGCTTTGCGATAGCATCGTCTTGGTTTATAAGCTAGCCAACGAATAGTATTTTTCTATCACAATAAATCAGCCAACAATATATTTAGCCATGACTTATCGGCCAAGCGAACGGAGCACATATTTGTGTGTGTAGCGCGCGCCAAACTAATAAATGGGGCTGACAAGAGCTCTTTGTCCTATTGTTAATTATTGCTGATTGCTGACAGTGATGCCGAAGGCTAGATTTAGGGCCCTGTACGTTTTAACAAAATAACAGTGTTTTTCTCTCACAATAAATCAGCATCAACATCAGCCTTTTGTTTTGCATGGGATAAGGCGGATTAACAAGCAAAGGCGATATTAACTCACTATTTTACCTATGTTAGGTTTTGTTTGCTCTGCACGCTATCATGAGTTAAAAATGTTGATATAATAATGTATAAAAAACCCGACACAAGGTAAGCTGTATTATCACTCCGGAATAAATATTATGAGTATTTGGTTAACGTAAAGAAAAGCGTCTAAACTACTCATCTCTATGGCTAGATAGCCCATAAACTAACATCTAGTTCGGTTTACTTCTCCTAACGATATCAGTTTGTGCAATTTACCCCTTAACAAGTTTTGTCTTTTCTGTTTTTCCACATACAAGTTAAAACTCAACTTTCACATAGAGAAATAAAAGAAATAATTTTTAAGAGGTAAATTAGACCAACTAAAATAACTAATAAGATAGTAAGTCAAATTAGTTTTATGGGATTATCTGGACGTAGGACAAACTTAGAGTGTAATTTGAACATTTTTCTATTATACATAACTATACAAAAAACAGATCAAAACACAGCTCATAAATCATAGCATTATGACTTATAATTACCTCCTTCGGCGAGGCCAATCCTCTTGTATCCCGTGAGACCGCGAACAAGTCACTCATGAAAAATTCCAACGAGGTGGCTCGTTGAGACGGTCAAGAACAGCAAGCTGTTCACCAATCCATCGAGAACTCACATGAGTTTTGTTACATACGAACAGTATAATACTACCGTACAACCCATAACAATTTGTACTTATCTCAGCAAGTCTTCCCCGGGGTATCCTTTTCTTTTGGTCAAACTTAGCCATCGCCCAACAGCCCAACAACAACCAGCATTCTAAACACACCCCGCGGGGCCCGCATTCCAGTGCCAGTTCACCCCTGCGTGGCCCGCACGTCAGTGGCCGTCTCGACCGCGACCCGTCACCCGCCGCGTGACGTTACCCTGCCGGTTCAGAACCGACCGTTACCGCGGCCGATTCAAAACCAGCCAACCGTGGGCCGCCACGTGGACGGCGGCTCGGGAGCCTGCGGGTGAGCGGACCGCGCCCCGGCCCCGGCTGTACCTGGCCCTGGCCTGGCTTTGCGTACGCTAGTGGGGAAGTGGTGGTGCGCTCAGCCAGTCAGCCGACAGACACACAGCGCAAGCCCCACGAGAAGATCCGCCCTCTCCCTCCGGCTCTCCCTCCCCTCCTCCGGTCCTCCCCGTTGCTGTCCGTCCCGCCGGCGTCGAGGCTTGAGAGAAGGCGGAGGCGGGTGAGCGCCTGGCCGCGGGGTGTGTCTGTCCGGTGGGCTAGCTGGGGACGCGCCGGTTCGTGCTGACCTGGAAGCTCTGGAGGCGCTGAAAGCGGCCTGGCGGGCGATGGGGTGGGCTTCCTGCTGCAAGAGGTCGGACGGGTGAGTCGTTCGGTTGCCGACTAGCCGTGCCCGGCGATTTTTGTCTTGCAATTGATGTCTCGGTGCGGGTTTGGGGTTATGAGTTTGGGTTGTGCTCGGTTTGGCGGAGAATCGGAGAAGGGGGATGGTAAAATGGTAGAAGCTTTTTTTTTGTTCTTCCTTATTTGGTGATTTTTTTTTAATTTTAACACTTTTTGAAAATTAATTTTAAATCTAACACCATCGGGTTTTTTTTAAACTAACACTTTTGGCCGCGCCTATTGCCCTGGCGCGGCCAAATGCCTGTGCCGCGCCATGCACTGTGGCGCGGCAGCGGGCTGACGTGGTGGCGACCGGAATCGCTGACCGCTGACGTGACCGGGCTGCCGCGCCACCGATCTTGGGGGGGCAGTGCCGCGCCGCGGCGCATGGCGCGGCAAGGGGGGGTGATTTGACGGGTCACAATAACGCTGCTACGCTCACCTGCAGTGCAATGTAAGTGCAGATATAGGTGCAGGTTTCCCATTTATCGCAGTGCAGTGTAGGTGCAGGTGTAGGTGCAGTCTGCTCCGCTCAGCTGCAGATTTCTCATTTCCCTTGCGGTGCATGCACTACATTTCCATGAACCCACTGCATGATTGGTCTGGTTAGTCTTGTTTAGGTCCAACCAGAGCTGGGTCTGTCGTCTGTGTGTGTGTGCATGCATTTATTGTGCTTGCTCAAGGATTAGTGTGTGTGCAAGAAGAACATAGAACCTGCCGGCTGGTGGTGGATGCGAGAGGCTTTTCATTAAAGGGGATTGGTTATTAATTCTGGCCACAAAAAAAAGGACCTAAAAAAAAACTGAAGTATGTAGTACGGTGGGAGAGGTCTAAGTTACGAGTTGTTATAATTTTTTTAGGTACCTAGTTTTTTATTTGTATCTTTTTTTAGCCTGGACTCATAGTATATAAGTTGTAGTATCTATACTCTACACAACACACTCACACCACCACACGCGCACACCCTAGAAGCTACAACCTATACACCTCAAACGTCCTTCTGAAGATCACTGAAGCCACACTTTTTATTTGTATCTGAAAAAACACTTATAATTTAGAATGGAAGGAGCAGTTATTAAAGGTCCTTTTTTTGTGGCCAGAATTAATAACCAATCCCCCTTAATGAAAATATTGCGAGATGTCTAGTTTTGAGTTCTTTTTTATTTATAAGAAAGATTCAAGAAAGATGAGGTTCTAAAAGCTTCAGCGCTTAACAAAAAACGATGCCATCTTTATGTTCTTATTATTATTAGTTACTTGAAGCTTCAAGAAAAGCTAGCTATACTAGATAAAACCATCGTTCTGATAACTTGCACGAGCGTGTGGCACTCAAGAGGCCGCATTATGTGAACAAGGATCTTAGTTCCAACTTCCAAATTTGAGTTAGGTGTATTTGGTTGAGCCATGGCTTCTCGAAAGGTTGTTGTACGAGTTCTGGTCTATGGAAAAGACAAAAGCCATTTGGTTGAACAATTGTTCATTTTGGAAAAACTACTGGCACCAGACCCCACATGTCAACCACCCATCAGGTTGACTTCATTAGGTCGCGACCACAACGAAGCTGCCCGAGGAGGAGCTCTCACACGCGGAGAGCTGCCCGGGGCGGGCTCGTGGCCATGGCTAGACCTAAGCATTTTGCAAGTTGGGTCAGGTTTAGGCCGGGCTGACCGGCTGACCGTCCCACTGGGAGCATGTCGAGGAAGCGAGAAGTCCCACGGCTCCTTTCTGTCGGTGTGTCGGATGGAGAAAAGATGAACCGGTATTCTCCACTTACAAGTGGCAGGTTGGTAAATTTTATGAAAGTCTCTCCCCACGGCCGGTGAGAACAAGTTTAGAGGTGCTGTGAAATTATAAGTTTGGAGGTGCTATGAAATTATGCAGGTTGGTAAATTTTATGTAAATCTAATGCAGCAACTTTTTGTAGCACAAACTTTCTTCATGTGATTAGACTGTTTTTTTTGTCAAAGTTAACAAATTTTGGATTTTGAAATCCATGCGCGCTTATACGTTTGCGCTTATTCGGTAAATCGTCACAGCAAAGCAAGGCACACACACACACGGATGATCGACGGATCTGAGGCAGACTGATGACGAGACAATGAAAAAGCCTCTCGCATCCACCACTAGCCGGCCGGTTCTCGTGTTCTTCTTGCACACACACTAACCCTTGAGCAAGCACAATAAATGCATGCACACACATGATGCAGACCAGCTCTAGTTGGACCTAACACAAGACCCGACTGGACCAATCATGCCGTGGGTTCATGATGGAAATGCGGTGCATGCACCGCAAGGGAAATGGGAAATCTGCAATGAAGCGGAGAGTGATCGCACTGCACCTACAATGCATCTGCGATAAATGGGAAACTCTGCACCTACACCGTGACCGCAACCGAGCGTAGTAAGCAACATTATTGCGCCCGTCAAATCACCCCTTGACGCGCTTATGCGCTGCGCGTGGGCGCGCTGCTGCGCGCGCCTTAAGATCGGTGGCGTGGCAGAGCGCCACGTCGTCGTGATCGGCGATTTCGATCGCCGCCACGTCGACTCTCACTGCCAGCGCCCACCATGCATGGCGCGGCACAGGCATTTGGCCGTGCCAGGGCAATAGGCGCGGCCAAAAGTGTTAGTTTTAAAAATAAAAAACCGACGGTGTTAGATTTAAAATTAATTTCCAAAAAGTGTTAAAATTAAAAAAAAATTCTATTTGGTTTGTGTGTCACTGTTGTAGGATTTTGGGGAGCTGATTGTGTGCTTCACTTCACCTGTGTTTACACAGAAAAATTGGTCTATTTGGGTGATTTCTTCAGTGGCAATTGATTTTGTTAACGAGAAAGGATGAGAGATGTGAAATAATCGTGTGAGCTTGATGTATATTTCTGTGGGTTAGTTAGTACTGTACTTCGGCGAATGATAAATATAAGGAGTAATCACATCTTGTTTGGACAGAATGTCAGAATGGAAGGACAAAGATTGAATATCTGAACTTCTGCATCGTTTCAAATTTCACTGTTTGTCTGTTTTCACTGCAAATATTAGTCTTGAATTGCGGGCAGATCACGTTGAAGAGGACATAAGTTAACTTTAAGTTGTTTGTTCAGAATATGCAGCAATTTGGGGAGGAGTTGGGTGAAGTGACGACCTTTGGGGGCTCCATTAGTACCTTTCCTTTTTGTACCATACATTCTTCTAGTAACTGTTGCCCGTCACTTCATTAATCACTGTTGGTTTGTTGTGTTCTTAGGGCTGAACCTGGTAGGAGGAAGAAGAAGAAGGACACGACGTGGCGGATCTTCTCACTGAAGGAGCTTCAGTCAGCAACGAACAATTTCAATTACGATAACAAGCTCGGCGAGGGTGGGTTTGGCAGTGTGTATTGGGGCCAGCTCTGGGATGGGTCACAGGTCCAGTCTTTCTCTTGAATAACCGAAATAATCTGTTCTACTGTGTCACTGTGTGCACAGCCTTTTTTGCTATAGTAGTGTTAGCTTCTGGGGACTCACTTTTTTTTTGGGGGGAACGAAAGCAACTGGCATTTTTTTTGGTGTGTGTGGGTGTGTGTGTGTGTGTGTGTGGGGGGGGGGGGTAAGAGCAGGACAGTGCCATCAATGGAACCTCCTGATGTTGATGATTGTATCTTTTACTGATTCAGTCTCATCTTGGAGTGCTATTTCTAGTTCTAGCAGTAATTGAAATCTAAAATGGTAGTTTTCAGAGCTGTCCTTCAGCCAATCAGAGAGTCCTGGCAAATACGACCACTTCAACTAATTGTTTTTACTCTATGGTAAACCTATGCTCGTATAAGTTTGGATTGTTCATGCTATACCTATATATGTTGTGGCTAGATAAAAAGTAGGGTTCTTGACACATGGGCATGCTATGTTGCAACAATCTGCCTTTTTATAAGCAACAATCTGCCTAAATTGGTGTATCATAAGGTAAATGTTTTTCTTTTCTCTGGGATTTTGAGCTATGTGCTCCTTGTGGGCTCATTGATATGCTTTTGCTGCACACTTTGAGTGTTTCAATACCAGTTTCTTAAGGGACCCCGTATGTTTCATTTACTCTTTTACTCCATGAATGGGATTTCATATCCTCTGGAACTTACCACTTCACTCTTTAATGACACAAACAGATTGCCGTGAAGAGGCTCAAGAGTTGGAGCAACAAAGCTGAAAAAGAATTTGCTGTCGAGGTGGAGATTTTGGCACGAGTGAGGCACAAGAGCCTTTTAAGCTTGCGCGGATATTGTGCTGAAGGCCAGGAACGCTTGATAGTCTATGATTATATGCCAAACCTGAGCATACACTCTCAAATTCATGGACAGCACGCAGCAGAGTGCAATCTCAGTTGGGAAAGAAGAATGAAGATCGCCGTCGATTCTGCAGAAGGGATCGCGTAAGCCACACAACATCATTGTTCATGTTTATCCTCACAACATCATTCATGCTTACCAAACTTCAGCAATCTTATTATTTAAAATTCTTTCATCTTGTAGTTATCTGCATCACTATGCGACACCGCATATCATCCATAGAGACGTCAAGGCGAGCAATGTTCTCCTAGATTCAAATTTCCAAGCTCGGGTTGCTGACTTTGGGTTTGCCAAGCTAATTCCAGATGGTGCAACGCATGTCACCACAAAGGTGAAAGGCACACTCGGTTATCTCGCACCAGAGTATGCAATGCTTGGGAAGGCCTCTGAAAGCTGCGATGTCTTCAGTTTCGGAATTATGCTCCTAGAGCTTGCCAGCGGGAAGAAGCCAGTTGAGAAGCTTAACCCCACCACGAAGAAAACCATAACTGAGTGGGCTCTTCCTCTAGCTCGTGACAAAAAGTTCAAGGAAATTGCTGATCCAAAGCTCAAGGATAACTTCGTCGAGGATGAGCTGAAGCGAATGGTGTTTGTTGGGCTCGCCTGTTCTCAGGACAAGCCAGAGCAGAGACCCATAATGTCTGAAGTCGTTGAGCTGCTCAAAGGAGAGTCTACTGAGAAGCTTTCCAACCTGGAGAACGATGATCTGTTCAAGCCTGATAGCTCATTCCAGAGCTCATCCGGACCTGATAGCTCAGACTGCGTCACTGAGGAGAGGAGTCCCAAAGCAGATGCGATAGAGGAGGCAGTTGATTCAAGTGAGACAGTTCCCTCAGCAAGGTAGTGTGGTGCATAGTGGTATTGTCAGTAGGTGCCCTGAGCTCCCTGCCTGGGAGAAATGTGTTTATCAGTGTATTTTTGTGGTTATTCCTTGCTATTAGCAAGTTAATTTGGGAGCTTCCTTGCCCAGTTCTCCTATGTGCTGTCATCTCTTCGTGTTGGCATGGTTCTCTTGGCTTGTAAAATTCTGTAAATCTGGGCCTGATTCCTTCTGTAGCAAGCTGTTCACTGCACTGCTATTAGCGTTTAGCTACTTCTGTCCATTAATGATTTGTGTGCGAGTCCATAATATGTCATTTTTGGGGGTTTTCATCATGTACAATTATCACTACTTTCACATGAATTTTATTGTTAAGCGTTTCTTTCGCAACAGTCGTCACAAAAAAATGCAAGATTGATTTCTTCAGTCACGAGCACTGCAATGAAGTTTGGAAACAAAACAGTTCCCACCCAGGGCTAGTAGCCGGCTCCTGCTGAAGTGACCACCCGTCAATCATGCTAGTCCACCCACCTTTCCCTTTCCATTCCCTTTCCAAGGATCAGACGCTGGAAGAAAGCATGCTAGTGCTCAAGCATCAAGGAACAACTAAACAAGACATGATCATATGAGGATATCAGTGCCCATAACCAGGTGGGTAGTGCAGTACATCTGCATACAGGTTGATGTGGCTCACCACAAACCTGAGATAATTTTTAGCAGAAATGGTGTGACGCAAAAGAGGTAGAAGATGCACTTCCGGTACAGTTACTATACTAACACAACTAACTAAAATGCCAGTCATCTCCGGTGTGAGAAAACAGCAACAAGGCAAAGAAACAGTTCAAATGTAGTAAACAAAAGCAGCATAAATTAGCACATTCACCTAGCATCCATATAGCAGTGGTAATTAAGTTACTACAATAGCAGTTGCAATATCTCTAATTTAGTAATTTAGACTTACATTTGTAAGAAACTGCAGAGCAATGGGACATTAACATGTAGTGTCTAATTTAATTATTTATTTACCGTGTCTGAGTTCTAAACTGATAGGCACAGAACGGGGTCATTGCAATTAAAATCAAACGCTAATCTGAGATTTCAAACGCTGCCTCCTCCCTCACCAAGCCGGGAAAACTTGTACCCCACTTTCTTGCTTCCGCTTGCCCATCTTGCATTGTCCAATGCCATCATCTTCGAGGCCAGCTCTTCTGGTTTATAGGGTTTTCGAAATTCCAGCACGATATTCATCTTCTCCAATACCTGAGCGTTTTCGGTAATAAACATAAGGAAAGCAAATTCACTTTCATCCCCATGGAAGTCACGAAACGCCAGCGTCTTGAGACGTGACTGGACACACTTGATGGGCCCAGCCTCCTGCCAGAACTTGAGACTTAGGTTGCTGGTGGGCTCTTTTGTTTGTTCCGACTGCAATTTAGATTCACAGTTTAGCCATATATATATGTATGCAACAATAATGGTGATATTGTGGGGGATGATAAAATAACTGAGCATGCGACACAATATTATAAAAACCTGTTTGGATCTACCAGCAAACCCAAGGTCCTCATGGACCCTAATTGTTGGGCACCTACTGAGAAGATCACTGAAACAGAAAATGAGTTGATTGAACCTTTTACTATGGAGGACATTAAAGAAGTCATATTATCTATGGAGAAAAGCACAACCCTTGGGGTTTCATTAGAGATGACATACATTCAATGTTCGTGGAGTTTCATGAAAATAAATTAAATTGGACATTGGGAGAATAAACTACGGGGTAATTACCCTTCTTCCTGAAATCAAGAATGAGAACAAAATCCAACAATACAGACCTATATGTCTGCTCAATGTCATTTACAAAATCTTCACCAAAACCCTTATGCTTAGGTTGGAGAAAGTCATGAACAAACTTATCAATAAATGACAAACGGGGTTTATCGAAGAAAGAAACATTATGGATGGAGTGATGGTCCTCCATGAAATCCTACATGATACAAAAAACAGAAAAAGAGAGGGTCCTGTGCTTAAATTGGATTTCGAAAAAGCGTATGATAAAATTAACTGGGACTTCCTTCTTTCTTGTCTGAGGCAAAGGGGTTTTTCACAATCATTGGTGTGACTGGAATGCAACGGTCATGACCTAGATATACTTATGGCTCATACTTTACTACTGGGAAAGGGGTGAGACAAGGAGACTGTCTTCACCCTTTTTGTTCAATACTGCGGTGGATACCCTAGCAAAAATGATCATGCACAGGAAAACAAGCTTTTGACAGGCCTAGGGACAGGATATGTGAATAATGGTGTTGTAATTCTGCAATACACCAATGACACAATTTTGTGCATGAAGATAGCAAAGAACAAGCAACTAATCTCAAGTTCCTGTTGTATCTGTATGAATCCATGTCTGGTCTTAAAATTAATTTTTCCAAAAGTGAAGCAATAATGATTAGCCAAGATGCTAATAAATCTATGGAATACGTAGACACTTTTAGCTGCACTGATTGGAAAATGGTCTATAAGATACCTTGGGGTCCCTCTGTCTGGATCTAGGCTTCACATAGCTAATTGGCTCCCTCTTGATGAGAAAATGTTAAAAAGACTGGATGGGTGACAAGGTAGTTCACTGTCCATTGGTGGGAGAACCTCTTGTTAGTCGCTGAATTCTCACTCTTGGAAGTAGCAGAATTCTTACTCTCATCGAGAGAGGATGACACTAGGAGTTGGGACAATTTTCTGGTTTATTTCTCAATGTCATACCAACCTGAGGGGTTGGGGTTACATATTTATAGGCTGCTAGCCAGCCAAGCATATATCAAGATGCTAATCTAAGATGCTAGTCTAAGATGCTAATATGCTGTCCTAACTAAGATGATGTCCTCTAGTCTAAGATGCTGTCCTAAAAATAGAAAAACAGCCACAAGGACCATGTGAGCAGCACAGCCCCACAAAGACCAGCCACACATGAGACTTATCCATCACCTCTCTTTTGGATTCTAACTTAAGTAACATGCTCACCTTATGATATGTCTATGTACCTCCTACCCCTAACTACTATTGACAAGTTGGATAAAACCAGGAAAAAGTTCTTTTGGCAAGGTGATGGGATGAGAAGGAAATACCACTTAGTAAAGTAGGAGATCATAACTAAGCCCAAAGATAAAGGGGGTTTAGGGATAAAAGACTTAAGGAAAATGAACATAAGTCTTCTTTGCATATGGTGGTGGAAACTTGAAAATGAAGATGGTTTATGGCAGGAGATTGCAAGGAAGAAATACTTGAAACGTAAATGTTTACAGCTAGTTGCTTACAAGGCTAATAATTCCCGTGTGGAATGATATGATCGAAGTCAAACATATTTACTTGATGGGAAGGTCTATGAAGATGGGAAATGATCATATGATTGATTTCTAGCGAGATATTTTGTGTGCAAATGTCTCACTGAAAGACAAGTTTGCTGGTCTATATGATATCTGTCCTACACAAAATTGCCCAGTGAATGAACTTTGCTGTAAAAACTGGAGGTTGGATTTTCGAAGGTGGTTAGATAAAGGCCTGCAGGACCAGCTTAGACACCTACATGATATTATCTTCAGATACAAAGTGAATGAAGCAAAAGATGTAGCAAGTTGGGACTGGGAGAAAACTGGGAATTTTAGTGTCAAATCTATGTCCAAGCACTATGTCGCAATAGTTATGGTCCAAACAATAAACAAATCTGGAAGGCCAAGTTGCCTCTAAAAATAAAAATCTTCATACGGCTACCTTTACAAAACGCAATTCTAACAAAGGATAACCTCATAAAAAGAAAATGGAAAGGTGATTCTGGTGCCTTTTGCACTGAGAAAGAATCTGTTCTGTGTTGTGCATATTTTCCTTGAGTGCCTTGTTACCAAATATGTGTGGAGTACACTGGCCTTTATTTTTGGGATATCTGTCAGACCTTCCTCTTTCAACCAATTTGGAGGTGGGTGAATGGATCCTCCCACAAGGAAAACAGGTTCACATGGTTGGTTTGGCTGCAGTTTGCTAGGCCATTTGGAGAACAAGAAACTCAATTTGCTTTGAGAGGAAAAGGGTTAAAACGCCTACTGAGATTATCTGTTTGATTTGTTCTATGCTGATATATTGGGCAGGGCTTCAGAAGCAAGAGATCGTGACTCGGATGGAACATGGGGCGGCAGCTCTGAAGTCGGTGGCTTTACACTTTCACCAACAAGTCCAGCAGGAGGGAGATGAATCGCACGCGATCATCAAGATTGGAATGATTTAGTAGTTTGCTGGAAAGGAATCCACCGCTGGCTTGCGTGCCGCAACAGCCCTCTCTGGCTTGTAATAACTAATAAGTCGAACTGGGTTTACTCGTAGCTTCTGTTGTGTGTGTCTGGACCTTGGTTTTGTTTCTAGGGTGGCGTAGACGCCGGCGGTTTTGGTTGGTCCACTGGCTGAGCCCTTTGTGCTCGGTCTGGAGGGCAATGTGAGGTTTTTGGGTCTTAAACTTGTCATACGGCACGAAACTCTGTAATTCCGTTACTATCCACAATGAAATTCGGTTCGTCCGTGTTGGGAAAAAGAAATAAAATATATACAACAATAACGTAGTGCTACAAAGTGGAGAATGAATAAGTGATAACGATGAAAATGCCAAATGAAAAAGGGGTCAAGTACTCAAGTTTACCTGGATACAAAGAGTCTCAACGTTGGGAAAGCACTTGAGGAAGCTTGGCAGCATCTTGATTTCATTGTGGACTCTGAAATGCAGATGGAGCGCCAACATCTGCACGCATGGAACTGTGGTTTTAAGACTCGGCTTTATTCCCGCCTGCAGTGAACAAAACAACAGATTCACACCACCATGTTAGGCACCGATCAGTAGATATTGTATGTCAACTGTTGACAGAAAGAAAGAAGGGAAATTAGGACCTTGATGACAGTGTTGCCAATCTCCAGCACGTGTACACCAGGCTCCAAATAACCCAAAATGCTCAGCTGCGGCGCGTGGCCAATCTTAACTCTGTAACGCTGGCTAGGGCACCTCCAGATGAAGCAGCGCTCAAGGGATTGGCAATCCACTATCGCCACTTCGTCGACAAGGACTAAGCAGAACTGTGCGCAGCGTAGGCTATGGCTGGTAAGACGGGCGCGCAACTTTTCCACGCTTCCAACAATGGTGAGGACCTCAAGCACGGGGCTAGCGGCGAGCAGGAAGTCGAGGTCGCGGTCCTCCAGCGCGATGGCACCGAGGACTAGCACCTGAAGCCTGGGGAAGGAAGCACCGCGCGGGAGGGTGGCGGTGTCAACGAACCTCCAAGCGCCGAGGTACAGGCGGCGGAGGGAGGTGCAGGCCGGCGTAGGGCGAGGGGCGGTTAACAAAGGCGAGCTCCTCGACGCCCTTGGTGGCAAGGAACTGGAACCAGCGAGCGAGCACGGCGCGGTCCGCATCGACGGCTTTTGATGAACTGGCAGGAGAGGCTAACAGAAGGGGAACGGCCCGGGGTGCGAGCGGAGAGCGGCGGAGACGGCGCGGCGCACGGCGCGCGTAACGGCGCCGGGTCGCGGGGGCCGGCCCTCCGCGCCCCCGCGGGGGAGGAAGTGGGTGCCGGCGAGGACGAGCGGCGCCGAGAGCCAGAGTCCGCGCCAGCGCGTGGAGAGCACGGCGGTGCGGGCCCCGTCCTTGGCGGGGAGGCGGACGTGGATGCGGCGGAGGAGGTCGTCGGGGAGGCCGCTGATGCGATCGATTCCTCCGTCTTCCTCGGCGGCGGCGGCGCAGGAGAGAATGGGGGCGGCAGAGACAGGCGGTTTAGGGAGGTAGGCGTAGATGAACCCGAGCACGGTGTTCTGGTAGAGGGACAGCGTGCCCGGATCCAGCCCGTGTCGCATCGCCGCCGGCGTTGTGTCGTCCGTGCTGACAGAGCTGCCCGGCGGCGGCCAGCACCAGTGGGCGGGGATGGGAATCGCCATGCCGGCGCCGCCGCAAGGTGTTCGGGCGCACGGCCGCACGGGCGAGGGTTCGGCGGCCGCTGCCCGCTTCTGCACTGTTCTGCAGAGGAGGAGGATGTGATGGACTTATAGCCCGATCCATTCATTGGCTGTGCCGGAGCTGAACAACAAGCAGGCTGGACCCGAAGCCCAAAAGTCCTTCGAGATGATTTCCTGCCGTGAAACTGGAAGGCCCATCCATATCGAGAGATCTCCGAGTCTGCAGTTCTACATGCTACCCGTCCACATTCAATTATTTTGCTGCATGAAATGTTATGATAATTTCGAGTTTGAAGACGCCGCGCAGTAGCACGCATGATGTTCTAAAGTTGTTGGGGACCCTTGTGTCTTTTGAAATATTTATTGGACATAAATAAAAGATCGATTTGAAAAATAAAAGGCCGTGTGAGAAGTCAAACTCGCCAAAAGTTGTGTGGCGAAGTTTGACAAACAACCTAAGAATACCTGCTACTAAAATTATGTTTGAATACTTAGTTTGTATCTGATTCTGATGTTTTGTCAGCTCACTTGATAGGAAATAATAGCAGAGGCTTTAATTTTATTTGAGTGAAAGTAAACATTTGATGAATGACTGTTGTGTTCTTACTCCTTTTTTTATGAAGGTAAACCTAGTGTTTATATATAGAAAATATAACAGTAATCATAGAGTTTAAACGCTGACCACACACACTTGCTGGGTTGCCAGCTTACAAGGTCCAGTTCAAAAACTTGTGCTACTCTCAAACAACTGAGGAAAAGAACTACTCGAAGAAACAAAGCTAGAAGAGACTCAGATTAAGCCTTTCCACTACTACAGAAATTATTTTTAGAGGCGGATAAACTGAGTTTTTAGAGACGGTTTGCGCAATCACTGTAATGCAACCGTCTCTGAAAATATTTTTTCAAGGACGGTTGTGGCAATGCAACCGCATCTGAAAATCGGTTTTAAATTTTTGAATTTGAAATTTCCAGCCAAATTTGAAATCGCATTTTCCCACCAAATTTCATATCCAATTGCAAATGATTCAAATTAACTTCATAAATACACAGTAGTGCACTAGTTATACACACATGATCAATAAAGTATTTGTACATTACAAATTACAAGTTAACATTAATTGTGCTCCTGCCCAAAGAATGAAAAGAAGGGATACAGGTATTTTAGGTGAAGGGACTCAAACTTGGGATGTGTTGCATACTTTGAGTCATGATCATAGAATAAACCCTTCGGATTAAGAACCTCCCGCGCTATGAACTTGTAGAAATCTTCTTGAACAAGTTGAACATCGCTTTGGGTAATTACTTCGTTTGGCCTCGTTACTGGATACTACACAAAAAAGGGAACAAATTAGCTAGATTCATATTAATGAACATATGCATATGATATGGTTCGATAGAGCAACTTACGTCTTCAGGGTTATTGTGATAAGTCCCGTTGGCTCTCATCCATTGACATACATAGTACTCCTTCCGTCCCAAAAAGAGTGACGTTTTTAACTTTTAGACATCGTGTTTGACCGTTCGTCTTATTCAAAAATTTTATGTAAATTATAAAATAAATAAATCACTATTAAAGTATCTTTAATGATAAAATAAGTCATAACAAAATATATGATATTTATACAAAAAATTTGAATAAGACGGATGGTCAAACAAGATGTCTGGAAGTAAAAAACGACACTCTTTTTGGGACGGAGGGAGTAGCCACAAAGCACGCTTCTGGTAGGCTGCCTTGACCACTGCAGGTCGGTGACATGTACAAAAATAATACAGTGAAACACATTGTTCTATATAAGGAATATGAGAAGCTATTTGAGTTAGAAAATGGTCGTACCCATTGATTTACATAAGGAACAAAATAATCACTTTCACTATAACGATAATCGGATGAAAAATAGTGTCACAGGTAATGAACTACAATTACTTACGTTTGTAACATGTTGATGAAATTTTGGTACATTTTTCTATCTTTTCTCATAGAGTCAAAGATGGAAATCCTGTCAACTCTCAAATTGATGCTTGCTAAGGTGAAGTGATCATTGCATCAGTACAAAAAAGATAATAGTGTCAATGTAAACCATCTACCAAATAGCATGAAAAAAGATAGTAGTCGATCTTACCCGAAATTGTACTGGGCTTCTATATATTGGAATCTCTAATGAGCTATGAATGCCTTCCCGACATATAATGCAGCTTCATTCCTTGCTTCCCTGTACGAAGCCTCCTAATTGCCTCTCTCGCCTTGCCCATGTCACCCTTAAATGCAGGATGATCATTTTGCCACAATAGAGGTCCAGCATGACGTGCCTCACAAATGAGATTTAGGTCAAGGTATGCGTTCCTAAAGTTCAACTTGGCCGAATCCATACACTCTTTTCTACATGAAAGTAAGGCAAATGTGTGGTTAAAAGGATAGCACAAGCACATAAAACCAAATTTGAGGATGAGTTTAAGAAAACACTCCTGACATGCACCACAGGGTAATCTGACTTACATCGAGTCTCTTCTGTCGGTATAAAAATTGAATGTCCTCAAAAGATATGGTCAGTTTTGAAAATTCTACACCGGTAGCGAATATATCGTTAGCAGGGTAATTCACCGGCACTGACTCTAAACCGAGTTGTACCGCTTCCAAATACCACATCTGTAAGACCCTCATGTGTAACAATCTCTTGTTGCATTCTAGGGCAAAATCAGGTAGGAATTCCTTGTCTGGCACGTATTCATAGGGGCACTCAGGATTGTTTTATTCCATCATGTCTTTAACGAATTCGACGCTCACCAGGGTTTGGCTCAAACGGTGTTGGCCACCAAAGATTGTTCCAGATCCTTCCTTAGTCATGCCTGCCTTGGCATTTTGAGCTGACGAAGGCACCGCCTTGACCTTGATTGCAGAAGCGTCCTAGGGGTTCTTTTTGCCAAGAGACCTCCACATCGCAGATATACTAGCATCGGGCGAGTTGCTACCCTTCTCAAATTCTCTCACCATCTTAGGAAACATTTGTAACTGCGGTGGAGGTGGTGGCGTCGCTATTTGTGGCTACGGTGGCGGTGGGGGCGCAACTGTTTGTGGCTGCGAAGGCGGTTGGGAGGGCGGTGGCAGTAGTGGTGCGGTGCTGGCATAGTAGTTTGTACCTGCGGAAGCAGTGGCAGTGCTAGCGCAGCAGTTCCTCCCTGCGGAAGTGGTTCCGGTGGGGGTGGGGGTGGCGGTGGCAGAGATGGCAGAGCACTTGAAAGGTCCTAATGGCTAGAGGGGGGGTGAATAGCCTATTAAAAATTTTGCAACAACACTAAGGCAAGTGATTAGTAAATAAGATGGCAAAGCGAATTTTGCGCTAGCACTACACTTGTGTTGCAAGCCACCTGCCCAATTCTAAAATCTATGATCTCTAGTATATCACAACAAGGCTTAGTCACTAATTTACACCTAGGTGAGCAAGCTAGCAAGAGAACTATAACTAAGAGCTACACTAACTAGTTTTAATTACCACAAGCTCTACACAAGTAAAGGCACAATGTAATACAAGAGAGTGGTAGAGAGGTATACCGCAGTGGCAAGTGATCAATCAATGAATACCAATGAATACCAAGTAGACAATCAAGACACAATGATTTTTCCTCCGAGGTTCACTTGCTTGCCAGCAAGCTAGTCCCTGTTATGGCGATTCACTCACTTGGAGGTTCACGCGCTAATTGGCATCACACGCCAAACCCGCAACCGAGTGCCGCACAACCAACACAAGATGAGGATCACACAAGCCACGAGTAATCCACTAGAGTAACTTTTGGCTCTCCACCGGAGAAAGGTCAAGAACCCCTCACAATCAACACGATCAGAGCCAGAGACAAACATCTTACTCTGCTCGACGATCCTCGCTGCACCAAGCCATCTAGGTGGCGGCAACCACCAAGAGTAACAAACGAATCCCGCAGTGAAACACGAACACCAAGTTTGTCTAGATGCAATCACTCAAGCAATGCACTTGGATTCACTCCCAATCTCAGAAAGATGATGAATCAATCATGGAGATGAGTGGGAGGGCTTTGGCTAAGCTCACAAGGTTGCTATGTCAATGCAAATGTCTAAGAGTGTGAGCTAGAGACGGCCAAACGCCTTATATAGACGTCCCCTCGAAATAGAGCTGTTGGGCACCACGGGTAGCTCATTGCGTTGTGACTGGACGCGCCGGTCAGATCGACCGGACGCTCAGCCCCCTACGTCCAGTCATGGGATCACTACCACGTGTCATAGCTTCAAACATGTGCCATTTGATCCCAATGGTCAACTCGATCATGCGTTCAAATTAATGAACGATCGGACGCACCACACCGAGATTGGCCGTGGCCACCCCGCGTCTGCTCGTGCCCTCGCCCGAGGCGCCAACCCAGCGACCTGACGCGCCGATGGAATGACTAGACGCTCCATCAACACAAAGTCTGGTCACTTCCAAAGATCATCCAGAGCCACACTTTCTCGATCGGACGCGTCCGAGGGAGCATGATCGAACTCAAGGCCGAGTTCGGTCCTCACTGCCGCTGCGTGCCAATAGTTTCACCGCCACATCACCATACGTCATCGTTGACCACACCCAGAGCCTACGCTTCCGATCACTTCTCGCGCCAACGTCTGGTCAACTAGACCGAGATCGCGCCACTGCTCCACTACTAACTGGACGCGCAGGTCCAACGCCCGGTCGTGCGTTCGGTCAGCACAGTGACCTCCTCGACTTCCCAAACTTTGCCACCCTTGCTCAAATATGCCAACCACCAAGTGTATCACCTTGTGCACGTGTGTTAGCATATTTTCACAAACATTTTTAAGGGTGTTAGCGCTTACTAGAATCTAAATGCATATGCAATAAGTTAGAGCATCTAGTGGCACTTTGATAGCCGCATTTTGACACGAGTTTCACCCCTCTTAATAGTATGGCTATTGATCCTAAATATGATCACACTCACTAAGTGTCTCGATCACTAAACCA